AGAAATAATGTTTATACCCCGTGACATAGAAATAATGTTTATACCCCGTGACATAGAAATAATGTTTATACCCCGTGAACATAGAATAATGTTTATACCCGTGACATAGAAATTTTTTTTATACACACGTGATATAGAAATTATGTTTTTACCCTTGATATAAGAAATAATGTTTATACCCTTGATAACACAGAAATAATCTTTATTCCCCTTGACACAGAGAAAATAATGTTATACCCCGTGAACACAGAAATAATGTTTATATCCCGTGACACAGAAATAATGTTTATACCCCGTGACATAGAAATATTACATAAATGTTTATACCCGTGACACATAAATAATGTTTATACCGCCGTGACATAGAAATAATGTTATAACCCCGTGACATAGAAATAATGTTTATACCCGGGATTGATAGAAAAATAATGTTTAATATCCCGTGACATAGAAATAATGTTTTATACCCCGTAACACAGAAATAATGTTTATACCCCGTGACACAGAAATAATGTTTATACCCCATGACACTAGAAATAATGTTTATACTCCGTGACATAGAAATAATGTTTATACTCTGTGACATAGAAAAAATGTTTATACCCCGTGACATAGAAATAATGTTTATACCCCGTGACATAGAAATAATGTTTATATCCCGTGACATAGAAATAATGTTTATACCCCGTGAACACAGAAATAATGTTTATACTCCATGACATAGAAATAATGTTTATACCCCGTGACATAGAAATAATGTTTATACTACGTGACATAGAAAAAATGTTTATACCACGTGATATAGAAATAATGTTTATACCCCGTGATATAGAATGAATGTTTATACCCCGTAACACACAGAAATAATCTTTATTCCCCTTTGACAGAGAAATAATGTTTATACCCCGTGACATAGAAATAAAAATGTTTATACCCCGTGACATAGAAATAATGTTTATACTGTGAACATAGAAATAATGTTTATACACCGTAACACAGAAGTAATGTTTATTTACCTCGTGATATATAAATAATGTTTTATACCCTGTGATATATAAATAATGTTTATACCACGTGATATAGAAATAATGTTATACCTCGTGACCTAGAAATAATGTTTATACCCCGTGACACAGAAATAATGTTTATACCCCGTGACATAGAAATAATGTTTATACCCCGTGACATAGAATTTTTTTTTATACCACGTGATATAGAAATTTATGTTTTTACCCCGTGATATAGAAATAATGTTTATACCCCGTAACACAGAAATAATCTTTATTCCCCTTTGACAGAGAAATAATGTTATACCCCGTAACACAGAAATAATGTTTATATCCCGTGACACAGAAATAATGTTTATACCCCGTGACATAGAAATAATGTTTATACCCCGTGACATAGAAATAATGTTTATACCCCGTGACATAGAAATAATGTTTATACCCCGTGACATAGAAATAATGTTTATACCCGGTGATATGAAAATAATGTTTATATCCCGTGACATAGAAATAATGTTTATACCCCGTAACACAGAAATAATGTTTATACCCCATGACATAGAAATAATGTTTATACCCCGTGACATAGAAATAATGTTTATACTACGTGACATAGAAAAAATGTTTATACCACGTGATATAGAAATAATGTTTATACCCCGTGATATAGAATGAATGTTTATACCCCGTGACATAGAAATAATGTTTATACCCCGTGACATAGAAATAATGTTTATACCCCGTGACACAGAAATAATGTTTATACCCCGTGACATAGAAATAATGTTTATACCCCGTGACATAGAAATAATGTTTATACCCCGTGACATAGAAATAATGTTTATATCTGTGACATAGAAATAATGTTTATACACCGTAACACAGAAGTAATGTTTATACCCCGTGATATATAAATAATGTTTATACCCTGTGATATATAAATAATGTTTATACCACGTGATATAGAAATAATGTTATACCCCGTGACATAGAAATAATGTTTATACCCCGTGACACAGAAATAATGTTATACCCCGTGACATAGAAATAATGTTTATACCCCGTGACATAGAATTTTTTTTTATACCACGTGATATAGAAATTATGTTTATACCCCGTGATATAGAAATAATGTTTATACCCCGTAACACAGAAATAATCTTTATTCCCCTTTGACAGAGAAATAATGTTATACCCCGTAACACAGAAATAATGTTTATACCCCGTGACACAGAAATAATGTTTATACCCCGTGACATAGATATAATGTTATATCCCGTGACATAAAATAATGTTTATACCCCGTGACACAGAAGTAATGTTATACCCCGTGACATAGAAATAATGATTATACCCGGTGATATGGAAATAATGTTTATACCCCGTGACATAGAAATAATGTTTATACCCCGTGACATAGAAATAATGTTTATACCCCGTGACATAGAAATAATGTTTATACCCCGTGACATAGAAATAATGTTTATACCCCGTGACACAGAAATAATGTTTATACCCCGTGACATAGAAATAATGTTTATACCCCGTGACATAGAAATAATGTTTATACCCCGTGATATAGAAATAATGTTTATACTCCATGACATAGAAATAATTTTTATACCACGTGATATAGAAATAATGTTAATACCACGTGATATAGAAATAATGTTATACCCCGTGACATAGAAATAATGTTTATACCCGTGACACAGAAATAATGTTTATACCCCGTGGCATAGAAATAATGTTTATACCCCGTGACATAGAAATAATGCATTGAAATAATGTTAATGTCCATTTACATTAAAATTAAGTTACAGATACTTTTATTATAGATGTAATATAACGCTCCATGCTGTTACATGACATAGACATTTTATTTCTATTACAAGACATGTAAATAGTGCTGTTATTATATGAAACATAAAATTTCGCTATTACTCGACATCGAAGCCGATGGCAGATAATAATGTCCTTTAATAATTGAAGTATAGACAGAGTTATCTTACCTGTCATAGCCGCTGCGAAACCCATAACAGACCAGAATAGGTATTTATTATGTGCCTCGTCAAACCAGTCATATCCCGGCGGAGGCTGTGTTGATGTCGTCGTCGTAGTTGATATATAAGTATTTACCGTCACTACTGTTGTAGCTACAAATTTGATATGACACATATTAAAATTACAAATTATTGTCAGTAGGTCCTTTAATTTCAGGGCTTACCATTTTCTTTTCGTTGTGTTACATTCCGCTGTGAATATAAGGCATTTATTGTTAGTATTATTGAACATTATTATTATGATGCCTTACCTTGCCTTATCAGGAACTTCGCTCAGATCTTTGAGCCTACTTAAAAAACTTTTGGGGTGCCATCCAGTTCTCCAATAAGATGGACAGCCAGCGAACTTAAAGCAAGACGAATATATTTCGAGCGCAATTGTAATTTGATGGAACAAGGGACGTAAGAGTTTCACTCGGCCGAATTGTTTCTAGTATGTCGTTATTCCGTTTAAATATATTAAATAAACATTAAATTTTTTGTACAAGTTTGCAACACGTCTCTATTCAAATTCAAACATTCAAAATAGGTTCTCAATACGCACAATTCGTTACAAGTACATAAATTGCTTTGTTCAGACGTTATTACAACGTGTTTCTTAGCTGCAGTACAATCATACCAAGAAGAAATAAATAAGGGCCGTTTTCTCACTGGTCTCAATTGCTCGAGACAATCTAGCAGCTGTGAGCACACTTGATATTGGATTTTGTTGTCAGCAGAGCAAAGATATGTAATGAGAGAGAAACAGAAGACGAAGAAAGGACTGGGTAAGGACAAGGCTTTATTTTTAGCTCTTCTCTCCTTTGTTTTCATGTTGATTTCAAAAATCGTTGGTTTGATTTTAAAATGTAAGAACGACCGAACTAGAATAGTGACTAACAGCAAAACATGCTCAGCAAAACAGGACGTGATTGAAATGATGATCTGAACGCATTAGAGGCATGATGGGGATATTGTTAGAACACGTTGTAGTTAAATGCAATCTAGTTTATAATTGAACTAGAAACACAATAGATTTGAACTGACTGCAGACGGCCGTAAACTGATTCAAAACAATGTTAACTGGCAATTAAGTCAGACATAAACGGATTTCAGTCGTAATAAAAATGTGGTGGACGTATCACTAACGGTTTATTTACTAAGGCTTTTAAATCACATTGTAGATATTTTCCGGCAAAATTTACTCGTCTTAACTAAACCACAGTTCTTTCAAAGATATTTCGAGGAACTGGTTGGACTTTGTTAAGAACTAGTATGGAGTGACAGCATCATTAAGAAATAATCAACAATCTTCATTCTTACAAGAACCGGTCCTGTCTGTTACCTTTACATTTAATTAAAAAAAACAACACTCAAATTAAAGAAATAAGCAATACACTTACACAGTCTATTGATATTATCAAAAAAACTTACTTGTTCCGGTATCGTCCGTTGCCATAACATTTACTGTCCATGTTCTTGGTCCATATTCTACGTCCAACAAATTTGCTAGTGACAGAATCCCAGAGGATGAATCAATTGCAAAGTATGAATAACCATCTGGAGAAATAAAAAAAATAACATGGTAGTTTTTGTAAGGAAAATGTCAATGAATAATTATAATTTTAATTAATTATTTTATTCTGAAGAAAATGTGTACTGAATATATTGTCAATACACACACTTGCATTTGGCGTCACGATTCTAGTAATACAATAATGCAGTGTATTTAATACAAAAAAGGAAGAGAGAGATCGGGATCTATTTATTTATTTGAAAATGCCGTATTTTAGTTTTTCACATGAGAGGTGGAATTATTTCAAAAACCAGAAAGAGATTTTAGTCAACAACTTGTGATAAAAAGGTAAAATATCTAATAGAAATAAACTTGCATTGTATTTCGAGTGTCTTTAATGTGAAAATATGCTTTTATACTATTTTATTTTTTACATTTTAAGGATAGTAGAATCAGCACAAAATATAACCCGTGCAAATATCTGACCAAAATTGTGTTTCGAAAAAATACGGCATATATATGTCAATTACAGACCGAAAATGTAACGTTAAAAGATTTATTCAAAGATAAAACTGAGATTTTCTGATGTTACATATCCGTCTGACTTTTTTCACCGATATTAATATGTAGGGACAGTGTTTGACCATCAAGTGTGTGTGTAATTCCCAAGTCAAACGTATTAGTAACATATACATTTGAAACACTTACTATTTTCGGTGAGTACAGACCTATCACACCTATTGCCTTTTTTAACACGTGTTACACATTCGTTTATTTAACTAATGAAACCTAGCTTCATTTCCATCGTCAACAAACAGACGAGATTGTATTTAAAGCATTTATCTTATCTAATCTTTTGTCGTTTTTCATATGAAATTTAAATTTACCTGAACTTGTGTCGATGGAATACGCTACAGTCCCGGTTAGTGTATTACACGCTATCGTCTTTAAAGTCGTACCTGCTGTAGAATTGATGCCGACGTTGATCGTGTATGGTGGGCAAGTTGGTACACCTAAGAAATAAAATTAGAAAGTTAATAATATTAAAAAAGAAAAACAACAACATCATCATCAGCAACAACAACAACAACAACGACGACGAAACATTTTGTCGCTTGTTAATACAAGTCACAGACGGGGTCATTATGTTTTGGTGCAACACCTTAAAATGTCCAGTGGTGTTTATGACAATAATAAAACATATGCATAAATTGCAGAAGACAAACACTTGCGATATGGATGGGGTGAATCGAATTTGTGACCCAATTCTAACCGAGTACATGCCTTTGAAACAAACACGCAAAAAAGGAAAACAAAGAAAACATATGATATTTTAATCTGAAATAATAACCTCTCACCAAATCCAACATATTTTCTTTTCAAATCATATGGCACAGGGAATGCACACACGTTTTTTTGTCCAGACCTTTATCAAATGGTACAAACATGTCGGAAATATGTACATTCCTTTCATGTAAAAAAACCTCAGTGGAGTTCCATTTTATTTTATGTCAGTTTTTCACAAAACATATCCCCAGTATAAAAAATGACAATGCATTTCAGCAACGCGACTTATCTGTTACAAACATATGAAATTAGACTTTAAATATGAAGATTATTTAAGTAGTGTTGGAAATAAACTTTACAGACAGTTCATCACAAAGTTCCGTATGTGTGCACACAAATATATATTTAATATACATACAGATTATATCTTATTACATGAATTTTAATTAAATTTATCTTACAAATGAAAGTTCTTCATTAAATGAAAGACTAAACTAGAACACTCGTTATATAAGTGTCTACTTTCTGATATATATGTAATATTATTTTGTTCTTATCTACATAATTGTACATGTAAGATCTGCTTACTCTGCGTTTTGATAATGTATCGTAATCATATTTTTAGTGGACAGGGAGCTATGCGCAAGTCCGAAAAAAAATAAACAAGAAATAAATATTCAGTTTTGTTCATAATTTTAAATTCATACAATAGGAAGCTAAACAATGTGATATATTTTATGTATCTCATATAGCATTTCAGATTTGATTCTGAGGGGAAACTTGCTTTAATTAACATATTGTATCGTTTTATGCATGCGATACCTTAAAAGTAACGTCTTACGTGATGTGGTTTGCTCACTGCATGTGAGCATATGAGATTGAAATATGAGCAGAGTATACATTTTACGGTATTCTATACTCCTTAATATTAGTGATAAACATGTATATCCTTGGTCAAAACATAATATATAATACATTTATTTTATACATTATAAAATACTTTATGGCCCATTTTCGGCTTTCAAATCTTAGGAATTTGTTTAATAAGAGTTTTATCTTTTATATTTATAAATCAAATGGGTAGAAATTATTTATAAAATATTCCTAGATGAAATACGTGAAAAGCTTATAAAATTAAAAAAAATGGCACTACTAGTTTAAATCAAATATCCTAATGAAGAAAAAGTATAATACAATCGAAAACACTATAGTAGTGTGACTGCCATGTAATAAAAGTAATAACAAAGTATATTACTAGTATATCATTTGGATAATCTTAAACAAATAAATACATAAAATAAAACTAACTTACATGAAATAAGTGAAAACACGGAGAAAAATGTATACACTACTCCAAAGCGAAAGAGATTAATATTTTTCATTTTCATTTAAACTCAAGAGAAAAGAAGATATTATACAATATTTTGAAATCAGGAAATGTCTAAAATTGAATTGAAATACCTATAACAGTTAAAACAAGCATGAAATAACAAATGAAAAAAAAAGTAATTCAGCTTAAACAAAAGACCGTTCTATGCTTGAATAGTTTAACGAATAAAAGGTAATACGAGCCACCGACAATGTACACCAATTCTATTTTACCTTTAAAAATATAACCTAAAACGTTGCGTAAACATAGTGGCTGAAAGCAAATGATGTTGATGATGATGATGGTTAGGAGGAGGTGGAGGAGGAGGACGGTGGAGATAATGATGATGAAAACCAGATGATGATAGTGCCAGTGTGTTCCCAACAATAGGCGTTTAACATTAAATATGCAAAAAAACCCACTGGCATCAGAATCCTTAAATTCTTTAAATAATCATAACTGAATGTAAAAATAAGTGGTTAGATCGCACCCCCTGTTTAACAAACGATTCAACGCCGTGTAAAAATAATATATTATGGTATATAAGGATATGTATCTGAAAATTAATTCTTGATTATATTTCGGACAGTCGTGGGAATTATTTGATTCTTATTATGATTATTTAAGAACTCTGGTGACAGTGAACAAATCATACAAAAAAGCTACTTATAATCAACGAACGGGATGGGATAATCGCGAGTAGGTGAGACAGTATTCCTTGTGTTTTGTTTATATTATAAGATATATATACATTTACTCACGACTTCTTCAGAGAAGGGGAGATTACTCGGACGGTGATCGACCTTTAAAGCAGCACGATTTGTTCCCGTGAAAATTTCAAATTTACAAAATAAGTAATTCCTTCGAATCCAAAGCATTTTTATGCGCAAAAATATGCATAGCTTATTTAAGGATACAGAATAAGTCCATAATCAGTTAGCATGGTGAGAAACGTTTATGGTGAAAGCGATTAGATTAATAAATTGTGCAATAGTTTACGCAAAAATATTCAGATTGTCTCTTAAATCATTTCTCAAACTATTACAATATTTTTGTTAATTTGATTTTCTAAAGTCATTTTCTTTTGTAATATAACTATGAACTATAACTTTATAGAAATTCAGTCCCGTTATTTAGATACTATTAATGAATAACAATTTTCATACATACCAGAAAATGGTTTTGTTTTTTAGAAACACAACAATTTAAGTTATATTTATCAAACTACCGCCAAAAGATTAGAAATGGTTGCTTAAACAATCTCTGTAGATGTACGAGTAAGCTTATTTACTGTAAAATCAAAACGATTTGAGTATGATTAATATTTTATCATTGTTTAAACATAACATTTTTGTATGATTAACAATATTCACACAATACAATTCTGGATTAGGCAGAAATGAGTGTCCTCTCCCAGTTACAGTTCATGGCATAATTATATACAAGAAATGTACATACTCAAGTATTTTACAATGTAAGATATATAAGAGCAAACAGTCAAAAAGAAAATTTATAGAAAAAAAAACAACTGGAGAAAAAGACTCTATCACCACTAGAGGTTGTGTAATTGTAATGTATTGCTAGCGAAGTTCGTATATGTACAAGACGTACATAATATGTAAATATTGCAAAACCGATCACATATCCGCTTATCATTCCATTAATTACTCTATGTATATATTTCATTAGATAATAATTAGATGTTTACAGACTAATAATAATATCACCATTTTAGATTTTAAAGAAATAATAATTTATAATGAAGTGCATTCTGAAACCAACCGTCTCGAAAACAAAGCACCCGCAAACAAATATTCTCCTTACATTTATATGTTTAGATAAATGATACGGACACTACACCAGATATTGTAATATTTATGAGACCAGAGTTCATATTTTTATTGAGGACTGTACTTTGACGACAGTTTGGTTAATTGGAGGACTATATTGGTGCAGATATGTTTGCTTGTCGTAACTATGCAGTTGGCTTCACGGTCTTTTACTTGGTAACAGTCCTAGCTGACGTAAGTGAATATCTTATTTTTTTGAGTAAGTGTTAGAAAGAAATAAAACATAATTCAACGATAAACGAGCATGACCGTGATTTTACAATTTATATATACATATTAGCACGTGAATACAGATAACTAACAACAAGTATAACAAATTATTATAACAAATGATAATTCTTATAATGTTGTATTTAATAAAATGAGCACACGACAGCAACACACAATATTATAATAAGATGACGTCCATGAAGTCACATGTATGATGACGCCATTACCCGCATGAATTGCGAGGCTTGCTATCTTCATCATCGTCATTTTTTCGTCTTCGTTTTCTTCTTCTAATTCATCATGGCTTGGCATTTTTCTCCTGCTTCTTTTCTCTTTTTCTTCTTTCATTTTTAATCTTCTTTTTTTTCTTCTTCTTCTTTTCCTTTTTTTTCCATTTTTTACTTTCCCTTATTTAAGTACTTTAATGTTCACTTCAGTGACCTGTTTTACATTTCTTCATATTCTTCTTTCTCCTCCTCTTCTTTTATTTCACCTGCTTCTTCTTCATCTTCTTTTCCATATTTAAGACTTTTTTTCTTCTTTCATACCCTAATCTTTTCTTTCTTTAAATAATAAAATGAAGGAATGAATGAATAAATGAATGAATGAATGAATTAATTAATAAATGAAGGAATAAATAAATAAATAAATAAATAAATAATAAATAAATACATAAAAATAAATAAATAAATAAATAAATAAAAGTATTTTCTTCATTTTTCAGTTGGGATATGCAAGTAAGTGACATTCGTGTATTATTGTCGTTTTACAAATGACTATAAATAAAAGATTGTCATATAAATGTATTTACACTCTATCTTTTTTGTATAACAAATAACAAATTAAAACTGTTTTTCAACAGTATTTATCTTTTAAACTATTTAGTTCTTTTGCTATTAAAATCTGGTGGCTGGTCAAATCATTTCATTGGATTGTTATGTTTTCAGCATGTCCAGTACAAACGGTGACAAGTGTAGCAGCTCAAACCTGCGTCACTGGCATTGGCTTTCTGAACAGTACAATCAATTCCCAGGACGAAATTTGCAGGTATTGTACCTTACCTTAAATTTATATACTGCGAACATTCGAAATTCTGGAAAGAAAGTGATTCCTCGGAAGCATTAATCACAACAAAATTACACAAGAATTGCATACTCGGTTTGATTGAGTCTGTACATGAGAGATAATGAATAAGTGCAACACTCCTCACGCCCCCTAGCACCGGCTTGAGCGGTACTCAATTCTCAACACTTAATAGTGCTGGCAACAATGATCCCGAAGGACTAGAAAAAATAACAACACTGAAGTGAAGAAAAAAAGGACGAATAACAATGTAAACAGTTATAAATGAAACATGTATGCTATTTTTAAGCATTTGCACGGTATCACAATAAAAAAGAGAATATTTTCAAAAACACTTTCGACCAAGTCATGCATGTCAATATCCAAAATTACTTAGATGTGGCTTTAATGAAGGAAATGCAAAATTCTATGTTAAATTTTTACTCTGTCAAAAATTTGCTACACCCTAGACTTATTGAGAATGATAAAAACACTTTATCTTTATAACTTTCACTCAATGAAACCCTGATAATATGCGAAATATACATGCATATTGTTAAGGCTTTTGATAAGGGCAAAAATACTTTGTCATTTATTGGACGAAGCCTGTAATCCACTATTTTTGTTTGTTACAGTATATATAAAGAGACGTTGTATTGTATACAGAAAAAGATACATGATCAAGGGCTTGACTGTGATCTACCAGATATTGGGGCAAGCATGGCGATCATTTATAAAACAATCGGTCCGGAACTCTTCAATTACGACTCTTGTACACGTATGTTGATACTGTTGTTCTGTTGTTTTTTTTAACATGGAACTTAGTCATTGTTAAAGAGGTGGTCATAGTCTGGTTTATGTTTGCTCCACATTCAAATATTAGCTGATCATATACCTTGGTAGAAATAGAATAGGCAGGTTTCCGCAGCCGCGTGGTTAAGGTAACTGATTTAAATTAGTAGAACCATGTCGCTCTTTGTTCGAATTTCGACCCTGGTTACATTAAATCTTTCTTTTAACAAGCCAGAATGGTAAGTTATACAAGGGCATCGGGAGTGTACTAACATGAGTAAAGTGTGACTTAAACCAATAATCCCTTCTTCAAAAAAAAAAAGATCTATATATTTTGGCCGGAACGGAATAAAAGAATCATTCAAGTAGTTCCCTCGCAGTCAATTGGTTGACTTATTTGACCAGTTATTGAATATTTTTTCTGAAGAGGTGGGGCAACTTTTCAATCGCATTCAGTATGGTTAAATGTAGCGGGTAAAAGAATGACGGAATTACGGGAGAACGAAAGAATGGAAAGAAGGGAGAAAGAAAGAATGTGTATTTGTAAATTTGTAAAGTATTTTTGAACAATTAAGCAAATGTTTGATATTTATATTCTCGTGTTGCTTTATTTCTAATAAAAGTTACACCAGAAGTTGGAAATATCTGTTCAAGCGAAGATCGACTAGTGACGTACACGCTTATTGCTTGCACACCATACCTTTCACAAATGGCGTTGTATGGAGACTCGTTGGCGGCTTGCGCGTAAGACATTTGAGCCGCGTCACGACAAAACCAACATAGTGCGTTTGCGACCAGCATGGATTCAGACCAGCCTGCGCATCCGCGCAATCTGATCAGGATCCATGCTGTTCGCTTACAAACCCTATAACAAGTAGAGAAACTGATAGCGAACAGCATGGATCCTGATCAGACTGCGCGGAGGCTCAGGCTGGTCTGGATCCATGCTGGTCGCAAACGCACTATGTTGGTTTTGTCGTGACGCGGCTCATTTTCTTTTTTTTGTATTTCTTCTTAAACTATAGATTTTAAAACAATTTCAGTTTTTGATAAAAAAAGTCATACAACTATCTTAGCTAATTTTCCTATCCAAATAAATGAAGACATTTCCGTAGACTATTTTGATGTTTAATGAACTACAAACATTAATATTTCCTTAGCTACAAACACTTCACTGACTTAGTATTCATTCATGTGATGAAGCTATCCAGATAGCTTACGGAAAAATGATGTGTCTTCTTTTATGTCTACGTATAATATAAGAAGAGGTATCTGAAGTCTTTCTCCAAAATGAAAGTTGAAAAGTCATCATATGATGTTTACAATGACAATGTGACTGAAAATTCAACAACAACAACAACAACAACAACAACAACAACAACAAAACCAACAAAAAAGTCAAACTAATTAAGACCTTAAAACTCAAATAAACTCCTCCTCCTTATATATGCTAATTATTTCTGTTCTAAGCGTTTTAATTTTATTGAACGTAGTTTAAATATGTTTTATAACGAGGCGTCCGTGGCCGAGCATCGTTGGAACCCAAGGGTACTGATTTCGCTGAAGTTCTACGTACGAATGAAGTGTATACGTAACGAGGATGGGTTACCGAGGATGTGATTGAGTGGTTAAGGTTGTCGGTGGTTCTACTCAGGTGACTTTTTGTGCCTGCAATAATGTACAGATGAGTACCTGAGGTATGTCTCCACCAGTAAAGCTAGAAAGTCGCCATTTGAACGTGTAAATGCGACGAATAAACCAACAAAAATATGTATGCATTATTTACATTTCAAGGTATAAGGCAGCACTCGTTCAGTGTGCCGAACAAAGTCTTGGCTATATTGGTATTCAGTGCAGTAAGTTTCAAGTAGAGGAAGCCTTTAGAAGTCATACAACGGCAACATTTCTTTCTAAACACGCATTTGGTGTAGACCTTGGTAGTTGCTTTAAGGTATGTGCATTATCAGTGAGTGATTAATTTTTTGAAATTATCTTTTTGTCCGATAGTATTGCAGTATTTCAAATAAATCGTAACGCAAACTGTTAATCAGTCTAGTAAATCGACTGTTTTTAAAAATAATCTAAAACTCTAAGTCGGTTAAAATTAAATATTAAATTGGTCGGGCGGCTGTGCTGCGCCTGACCAATTTCATTTTGAAAATACGTACTAATAAACTTTAACCTATACACAGAGTATTACCACACATAAACCAAAATTATACATAATAATAGATACACCATCCATAGTCAGAATGCTTGCAATCTATGTTCCTGCCAATTTTCAGTATGTGTTTATTATGTCTTGACAAGTCTATCATAAAGATTGGTTAGTTCTAGCGGACACACTGCATATCAATGAAACATTGGCTTATGTATCAAATTAGTTTAGAATTTAAAAAAAATAACTCGAGCTTCATTGGGATCATTAAAGTTAACATTTTGGAATATTTCAGACGGTAGGGACACAAGGTTCGAGTTCGGACAAGAATTGTGTGGACTATGTTACCATATTCTCCTACAGCAGCGTGACCACGTGCATGGCAAGTCTACCAAGAACTAACTTTACAGACAACATGTCCCAACAAGATAAAAACATGCAATGTAGGTAAGTAGTCATAAATAATTTAGTTAAAACAGGTAAGTTTGTGGTTATTGCATTTATCGTTGACATAAATTTTGTGATATCCAAACAGACCAAATATAGACCGGCTCAAACCTTTTTTCTGATGAATTTGTGTAATAGACATGTCCTGTGTTGAAGTTGAAACAGTCCATTGTTAGTGTTAGGGAATTCAGTATAGAAAATAATTAATTTGAGAAAATGAAACTGTACATAGGTTCTGGTTGGTCAGATGTCATAACTAAACAGGCTAGTCTTAATTATGTTAAATAGCGACTTTCCAACTTTTCTTGTTAAGGAATAAAATGTTAGTTTGCTTTAAATAAAAGACAAGAAGATGTTCTCGATGGCGTTCTGAAGTCGAGTTAAGATAGAGGAAATAATGGACGTGTTAGCTAAATAAATCATTTTATTAAATCATATTGAGAAAATACTATTCAAAGAATGTAATATAACATGTATATGATTTTTATCAGTTTTGTTCAGGAAGTACTGGCTTGTATGGTAAAACAATTGGCTGTTATTGGCTCCCAGTGCACCATGAAGCAAATGCAGTCAGCCGTGAACACGTATATACATCTATCACAGATGGGGGCTGGCTTGCTTCACATATCAGAATGTCAAGGTGATTGAATATACAAAAGATACTGAATGAGTGTAAATGTGTTCAAATTGAATACTGAATTTATTGAGTGATAATAAAATTATGTTATGCGAACATCTGGCGGGCATAATATTTTATTTTTTTATTCAACGATTTCAATAAATTTTGTAATGAACCAACACGAATATGATATTTTATTTATCACATACCTAAAAAAGAACCATTTTTTCCATTTAAGCATTGACACGCCTATACAGTATTGCAACGCTAGTGACGTCACGTCAAAATATATGCACTGAAATGCCACGCCATTTTTACGACGAAGCCATTTTTTAACATAACTTAACAAGTATTGTCGGGGCGAGAACTCTGCAAATACTCTGTGAATAGGTTATTTTTGTGCGAGTTGTTTCCCTTCCCTTGCGCTTATTTAGTCAAAACATGTACCAAATTAGTACCGCAAAATATTGTGATTTGCAGCTTTAAACATCACTTTATTTATTTACTTTATCTAAAGTCATACAGATCTTATTGATACAATTCATATGATTCATTCTGGAGCATATTACCTTGACGAAAATAGTTCGAAAGGTATTTTAAGATATGAAACACTGGTACAATATCTCGAAATATGTCAGCCTTTCGAAAATTACAAGACTAAAGACTGACAATATAGGTTTATGGTTATCATATTTAATAGTAAGGGGTTTGTACATCAAAATGTATAAATCTAGCTTACAATTCAGACATGTATAATCTACACTGTTGACATGGGCTAATCAGTTCTATTTCCATCAAATGATGAACTGTTCACAAAAAAATCTGAATATTTAATTTCCGGTAAATCGTCCGAGCAGCCAAATGTATTTTAGACATCTTTTTTATATACCTTGGTTACCAATTTCTCTTATTACTAGGAAATACTAATCAGCCGTGTATACAAATAATAAAATACAAACGAAATACTGATCAATATTTGTCTTCATTCATTTCAAACGGTCTGTTGCAAATTCAAAGCACGGCAAATCAACTATACCAATTTTAGCAAGTGAAGGGTTAATGTAGATAAAATAGTGTTATGTATCGATTTTCAGTAGGAAATTCTTTATTCTCATAGTTATATTTTAGTTTAATTAAATTTTCTCTGTTAAAGTGAACGAGAGTTACGTGTCTACATCAATGTGTGATGACGATTTTCGACTGGTATCATTCTTTGCAACCAGTGGCGGCACAGCCTTTAATTCCCTGGATGGATACAACAATAAGGACCTTGTTTGCAAGTAAGTTAATGTCTTAAACGATGTTGATAACATAAAAGACATTTTGCAAATAAGTCAATTAATGTTACTTATTTTGTCGCTAGCCAATAAAGTTTAAAACTTTTGTTAATGATGGTAACATGATGGTAATTAATTAATTAATTTAATATAGTCTCGTCTATTTATGTTCACATATATTCAACACAAACATAACAAACATGAACAGCCATTGTACTATGACTGTTTAAGAGGAGACAACTCTGCGGCTAATATTACAGCAGTTTACTGTGTATTTACTGCTGATTTATCTCCCTTTGTGACAAAATAAACTCCCACAAGGAAGTCTAACACCTGCTGAGCTCGTACATTGTCTGTGCAATGTGATTTTTTGTATCACATTGAAGGCAATTTTGCGTAAATATTACAAGTTGGTTTTTACCAAACAAATGTTGCCATAACAATGAAAATAACGGTATTTGTGTTTGAATGAATAATGTCGTTCGGATATTATCTGCGTGAAATATCATTAAAATATACAGAGTATGATTTCATTTATAGATTTATACATGATTTCGTGTAGATCTATGATATAAATGTAACATTCACACCAGAATTAAATTTTAATTTTTAAATTTGAATATTGAGTAATGTTTTTATTTAATGACAATCACTAACTGTTTAAAAATATCACGAAGAGGGAAACTAACTCACTTATTGTTTCTATGTTTTTTTTCTTTTATCAGCACGCTTGTATCTTATATCGGCGTCCTTACTAATGGCTTCAATGTCACGTGCTCATCATCCAAGATATTTGCAGCGTTCATATCTCCATTCGGAACTTCTTTCTTTAACGGTCATTATCCACACCTAGATTTCAACCATTGTGCTAAAGGAGGGTTTGGTCAATCGGATGTTATGACGTCAAGAGGACAAAGAGAGGTGCCGTTATAGTTCTAGAATGTATTCAGATTTTCGGTAGCTAATATGAGAAAGGCATGTGGGTACAGAAACGAGCAAAGTACTGTTGTAATTGTTTGTAATAAATGAATAAATCAGTACCCTTTTATAAATGTTTTGTTTGACAAATTAATCCATAAAAAGTTAAAAACCAAATTAATCCTACAGAACATAGATATACCTACTACAACTTTATTATCCAGTAAAAAACGTTCAAAGAATGCATAATATACGCGACAATAATCAGAACATTGGTGGCGGTATCATTATAAAAATAATTATTACTAGTGTGAAAATCAGATTTTTCCTGTTAATATAACTGCTCCCTTATTCCATGTCACAACATTTATATGACATTTTTGTCATGATTTGTAAATAGCCAAAGGTATTTTGTTTGAGTCGCATTCGCTAATAAACGATGAATGAAATAATGTTTACACACTTTTCATTTGATCAACATTTCCTCCTTCCCCAAAAGTTGCAAAGTCAATTTTTTGTGTGTATATATATAAAAAAAGTTATTGCACATGGAAACGTCAGGAGCCAATCGGTCGTATGTACAATTTGTATAAAAGTTTCGTGGATTTTTACAAGTTAATATTATAGCGATGTCCCCTTGATAACACACGACGCTCTTGAAAATCAACTCGTATAATAAGCCCATAACAACCACATACTTTTATTTTGATCAACACAAATAACAACCACAAGGATACATATCAACAATAAATGCAAATGATAACCACAACCTGTTATAGCAAGACAGGGCAATGACGCCAATAAAACATGAATACTTAGAATACATTAAGTTAAAACCAAAAATGACAATAATGGCATAAATAATGAAACAATAATGAAACAACCAATGTTTGCAATGAACATCTTCCAAAAATTTGGATCATTGACTCGTAGCAAAAAAAATCGGGATTAAATAAGTATCAGTTGACTATTCTTAGGAAAATTCTTTTTGAATGTAAAATAGTTAAAAAAAACAAAAATCATTTGTATATAGAAACACGTTTTCATTTCAGCCACTTCTGTACTCAATAGTTTCATACACCATTATGTTTTCTTTACATGTATTATACAATATTGCAACATTTAATGTTATTGTCAATTGATATTATTACCCCTCACTTTTTTCGTAATGCTAATTTCCCATAGGCCTCTGGGAGTTATTTTTACTGTTAATGCAAGTGTACAACGTGACTAAGAATTTTGTACTGTTACAAAGGTAGGCCCCCTAACAGTATTTTTAAGCAGTATAAAATCTGGTCACGTGGTCTATTTTCTAAATAAAATGAAATAAAATGGCCGCCATATTTTTCTCGATTCATTCTTATTTTCAACGTTAAACCCCGAAAGGACATCAATTTCTTCTCTGGAGTAACTATGACACTCATAGGGGTCTAAACCAGGAGATTGCCATAAAATTTAGTTGTGTGCTTTCCGCGTATAAAATATCTTTTTGTTGAATAGTCAAAAAATGAACATCCGTTTTCAACGGAAGTACTTGAAATGTAAATACTGTAATTGTGTCAAACTGGAACATGCAGACGATTTAAGCATGCAACAAAGGATAATTTAACAATTTTAATCAGTGAAATGTTACAGATATGGTGGACAGACACAGGATATCATCGTTATTTTGTCAAAAACCATGCTAAGAATATTCTTGAAATAGAAGGATCAGATTTCACAGGTCATAACCGTGCAAATGTGTTAGTGTTTTGTTTTCTAAATAAAACCGAGCTTATTGTATGTTTATGATTTGAAGATATCATCACTTGCTTAAAGAATAAAAGTAATAGAAAGAGCACCGAAACACGAGGTTTTCTGATTTGTACGAGGGGGCGTAGCCCCCGATTATTAATCAGATTACCGAGTGTTTTGGTGTTATTTCTCTTTTGTATCATAGTCAAACATAAAAACACGTTCCCTGTTGCCACAATATGAAACCCCGGCAAAAATGTACCAATGAACGAACATCTGAATATGATATTTCTGTCGCTTTCCCTATCTCTGCCGTCACAATATGTAAACCCCAGCAAAAATGAGCCAATCAATGGGCATGTTCTGGAGTGCGGGTAACTAATACTCGCACTCCAGTTAACGCACTGTCCATGTATATGTATACGATTAAACCCTGACAGATTTTCAACAGAAAGGTCTCCAAATTATGATACAAGAAATAGAAAACTTCTCAAGTAGGCCTAAAGTACACTTAAAACTCAAAAGGTAAGGACAGTTTAGTTATTGTTACTCTTGGTTTATTTTTGTAAGACAACAGTATTTTCCTCGGGATGATATTTTTACTGTTACCCACAAACCCATGTGTTATTTATATACTGACACTGAAGATTGGAAGATAAAATATTTGGACGATGAGCTAGAGTTTGCTTCTAATAATAATTATTTGAAAGTTGAATGAACATAAAGGGTCAAACAGGAATATGGACTAACTTAGGTATTGTGTAAACAAATATTGAAAACCTTATATTTTACAGAGCTTGTATTAGCAACCTGTTCTCAATAAGAAATAACAGAAACAATTAAACTAGTTTGACCTGTCACTGCCCCAGATATAGAAGATAATTCAATACTGAATTTATTGAATGAGTTGAATAATATTATATTATGCGACCCTCTTATTATGAACTTACACGAATTTAATATGAAATTTATCACATACCAAAAATAAAGACCGTTTAAAGTGAAAAAGAGTCATTTTTCATTTACGCGTCTACAGTTAAGCATGTCGTTACACTATGTTTGTTTTTACGGAGTCGCAAAAGTTGCACGGGTATGTGATAATCTTTTTATGCCAATTATACTCAAGTGTTGGTTAATGAAACAATATCAAAGGAATTCCCAGGCAAAGTACATAAGGTATTGAACAGCTCATGTTTGATTTTAGTATCTTAGTATTTGAGGAGACTCTAACAAACCCATTTTCTGATCACTTAAGAAAACATAAGCGGTTTCAGGATCAGTACTATACAGATACCTCATACTTATTACTAGGATACTTGACGTAAACACGGACACTTGGCCGACTTGAACCGCCCCTGTAAACGATCAATAAAATATTTTAACGTTTTTACACAAATAGGGCATCTGTCTTAATCATTTAAATTGTTTTTTTTAACCATTTCCTCATGAATTAAAAGAAATAATCCCATGTACCGTCAAGTCTCAACAAAGTACCCCACCCATTGTCTGTGGTCGTTTACAACGTTTATTTTTGACGTTGCACTAAGGTTTCTTGCATAGCAGACTGGCGTTCCGTGAGTTTTACGCAATCCGGAAATTTCATCTAGCATGGGGGTGCCAGATGAGTTGCGTGCCATACAACAACGTCATTTTAGCACATTTTATGAATGAACCGCGTTAAAATGACGTTATTTTAGAAGGGAACTATGTGCTTAGGATGAAGTCATTTCGCCGTTGTTATTAAAACTGTAAGTTCATACGCTGTTGTCACAAAATAGTTATGGATGAATGACATTAATTTTCATGAACAAAAAAAAAAAAAAAAAAAAAAGCAAACGGATACATATTTTTTTAAATATATTGAATTTCACGTATTTACAAAAGAAAGAAGTTTTTAATACCCCTGTCTCCCAATTTAGGGTTTCTATTCTTGGTACCCTCCATTTTTTTTTATTTTTCTTTTTTGGGTTAAGACAAAAAACCCTTTTTAAATTTTTCTTCTAACAAATGAAAATTTAATTTACACAAATCACATTCAGGAGGTTTTGATTGAAACTGTGGACTTTTTCATTATTTCATTATGGAGTAGTGCAAATAGATCATCTATGGTTTAAGAGATTTATTAGATATCAAAATTAAAATCGATCGATGTGGTGGCTTGTCTTTTTCAATGAATGTTTCACAAGTCTATGGTTATCGTCACAAGCACTCAAATGTACAACAACAATTCAGCGAGATAACTAAGGTGTTCCGTTCGTTCGGACCATCTTTTTTTTGCATTATGTGGTTTCGAAGCTTCGGCATTTTTAGATGTCGCCGATGCAAAGAAACTAACCGTTCTATAGACCTAATAGATTTTAGGTCGTATACTGTGGTATTGCTGTTTTTGTTTGTTTGTTTTTTCCCGTCTTTTTTCCCGTTATATTACGTTTTTGCTGATACATGTATTTGCGTTTTCAGGTTGAATATATTATTTGTCAAATTATTGCATTTCTTTGCACACTCATACAACAACAAGCCCTAACTAATCTTCATATTCAAATATTAATGTACAAGATCTAAAAAGTGATGTTTCAAGATTCAATTATTTTAAAGTGTCTTCAAGTTACTTACATGAATAAGACAAAGAAACAATATATTTTTTTCAGAAACGCAATGCGGTGGCAGTAAAGGCATGGTTATGGAAGGAAAACAAAATCCCTTATGTCATAGACAAGAGCGACTTTAGTAAGAAACAAAAAAAGAAAACATATCATATTTTATTTTAATTTAATGTTGTTGTAGATTGTCTGGTACAAGTTACATTTTCGCGACTCCAATTCACATGAAAGACAGTTAATGGCGCCATATACAAATGATCAGACATGGTCATTTTTCCCTTTTGGTTGGTTAATTGGGCTTTACGTCGCACTAAAATAAAGATATGATCAAAAGTTTTGGATATGATATACTATAGCTTATATATGATACCTTATAAATTAGTAGTTATAATGATGTATGTTATATGCTTAATATGACTTGTAATATACGATGCACATTTTATTTTAAATATTTTTATAATGCACTATGTAATGTATGATATATGCATTTAATAATATATTTGATTAATTTTAAATTTATTAATATGAAATTTGATAAATGTGATATGTGATATGATGGATGTATGATATATGATATGACGATATTATTTTTTTTTTGCAGGTACTGAAGGTGTGATATTGATAATCAATGCAATCAAACAGTTTAACGAAGATGTGAGGTGTATAAAATTTACACCACGAATCAATGAATTCGACTTCGTACGCTTCAAAACTGGACAAGGGTAAACAATTTGCATTTACTTATGCACGTTGTGTGGTTGTTTCCCTTTTCCCTTTTAGTAAGGTGCTAAGTTCATTAACCACCTTTGCATTGTTTGTGTAGATCAAAACCAAATTTATGATGATAACTTGCTAATGATGATAACAATGATTTCAAACACTCAAAACGCAAAAATGAGAAATAATCAAGCTTTAACATGATAATGTTATAACTGGTTTGTTTGGTGAGAGCGTTAAGTTATCGTAAATGTTGAACACCGGCTCTTGCCGTATACTTCAGATAAGAAGCTTCTTACGTAGAAAACGAATACACACCAATATGGTTTCTGATTTTGTTATATTGTGTGCGTGTCAAAAGCGACAACACAACCTATAAACGCGCCGAACGGCGCACTGTTATGGTGGCTGTTTTGGTACTTTGCGCGTTGCGTTGTCGATAAAGACAACATTACCTTTATCGTTATCGCCTTTTCGTCTTGTCGCTAGCGAAACGCGCCAAACGGCGCGTTGTCGTTTTGTCGTCCTGTCTCAATCAAAGCACGCCAAACGGCGCGTTGTCGTGCGGCGCGTTTTCGTGAAGTCGCCCTGTCGCTTGGCCTTGTTACCAATCCTTCGATTTGAGCCGAGAGACAATCGTGACAACACGCCGCACGACAACGCACTTATTGATATGCCTCGTTTGCGACAGTCCGACAAGACGAAAGTCCGACAACGCGCCGCCGTTTGGTGCTTTGTCTTTTTTTTTCGCTAGCGACAGCACGACGCACAAAAGCGTTCAAAATCAGTCACCATATGATTTGGAACACTTATGTGCGTCCTGTTTCGCTAGCGAAAGCATGACAAAGCGCCATACGTTACACTGGTCTTGTCGCTAACGAAGAAGGCCAAACGGCGCGTTGTCGTGTTGCAGGTTGTCGCAATGTCACAATGTCGCTCGGCTCAAATCAAAGGATAAGCTTTTTGTATTTAAGCCAAGCGACAGGCCGACATCGCAAAAACTCTCCGCACGCCAAACGTTGCGTTGTCGGACTTTCGTCTTGTCGTCCTGTCGCTAACGATGCACGGTGTCACATTGTCGCTCGGCTCTAACCGAAGAATTTTCGACAGGACCAAGCGACAGGGCGACATCCCGACAACGCTAGCGACAAGACGAAAAGGTGATAACGATATAGTTTTTGTTATCGTTATCGACAACGCAACGCACAAAGTGCACCAAAACAGCCACCATAACAATGCACCGTTCGGCGTGCTTCGCTATTAGCGACAGGACAACAACACGACAGTGCGACGACACATTGGTCACATTAAAGAAAACCCAATTATTAAATTCTACATTTTTCTGGGGTGATTTTGGGACATTGCGCGTTGGTGGGCAAGCCCACAACGAAACCCATTTTCCTTCGCGCCTTTTTTTGTCCTTTTTCCCCTAGCGGGCAATACACAATTTTGCCAAACGGCTTTTGTTTTTCTCACTTTCGTTTTTTAAACTCCAAACGGGAAAGGGGCGTTGGGGCGCGGTTTTCCCCTTAGCCTGTAAACCAATCCTTTGATTTTTAAATGAGCGAAAAAGTGACACCGGACAAAAACACCGCACGACAAAGCGCCGTTTTTTCGTAACATTCGTTAGCGACAGAAAAACAAACAAATTCCCCACCAACCGCCCCTTTTTTTGCTTTTTTTTCCCGTTGGCGTTTTTTCCCCTTGCCAACACGACCCACAAAATTTCCAATTCAGCCACCATAGTTTTTTTGAATTTAAAACCAAATGACTTTATACAAAACAACAAACAAAATGGCGGAATCATATGACTGAAGAAGCTCCAATATGTCAGGGGTATATTGCGAAGCAAAATAGCAGGGGTTGGAGGTTGATGGGTCAGATTATAATGTTAATAGATAATAATTAAGTGTTTCCATTATTACCTTGTTATTGGACTGAAGACTATCATATAAGACAGTGTAATGCCGAATATCAAGGTCATAATGAAAACACTTAATTATTGACAATTTTATTAATTAACTACACATAAACTTAAAAAGTCACTTAGTGAACAAAAATAAACTGATGTGAAAGTCCGTTGTTGTGTGGTTTTGCAAATGAGATTCTTGTTTTATGTATGGGAAGTAGGCAGTAGCAGTAGCACATCAGTAGGAAACGTAAAGTTGGCAGTAGCAGTAGCACAGCAGTAGCAGTAGCAAAATTATAAAACGTGAAGTTGGCAGTAGCAGTAGCTCAGCAGTAGCAGTAGCAAATTTATAAAACGTGAAGTTGGCAGTAGCAGTAGCTCAGCAGTAGCAGTAGCAAATTTATAAAACGTGAAGTTGGCAGTAGCAGTAGCTCAGCAGTAGCAGTAGCAAATTTATAAAACGTGAAGTTGGCAGTAGCAGTAGCTCAGCAGTAGCAGTAGCAAATTTATAAAACGTGAAGTTGGCAGTAGCAGTAGCTCAGCAGTAGCAGTAGCAAATTTATAAAACGTGAAGTTGGCAGTAGCAGTAGCTCAGCAGTAGCAGTAGCAAATTTATAAAACGTGAAGTTGGCAGTAGCAGTAGCTCAGCAGTAGCAGTAGCAAATTTATAAAACGTGAAGTTGGCAGTAGCAGTAGCTCAGCAGTAGCAGTAGCAAATTTATAAAACGTGAAATTGGCAGTAGCAGTAGGGCAGCAGTAGCAGTAGCAAAATAATAAAACGTGAAATTGGCAGTAGCAGTAGCTCAGCAGTAGCAGTAGCAAATTTATAAAACGTGAAGTTGGCAGTAGCAGTAGCTCAGCAGTAGCAGTAGCAAATTTATAAAATGTGAAGTTGGCAGTAGCAGTAGCTCTGCAGTAGTAGCAAATTTATAAAACGTGAAGTTGGCAGTAGCAGTAGCTCAGCAGTAGCAGTAGCAAATTTATAAAACGTGCAGTAGCAAGTTATTATAAAACGTGAAGTTGGCAGTAGCAGTAGCTCAGCAGTAGCAGTAGCAAATTTATAAAACGTGAAGTTGGCAGTAGCAGTAGCTCAGCAGTAGCAGTAGCAAATTAATAAAACGTGAAGTTGGCAGTAGCAGTAGCTCAGCAGTAGCAAATTTATAAAACGTGAAGTTGGCAGTAGCAGTAGCTTAGCAGTAGCAGTAGCAAATTAATAAAACGTGAAGTTGACAGTAGCAGTAGGACAGCAGTAGCAGTAGCAAAATTATAAAACGTGAAATTGGCAGTAGCAGTAGCTTAGCAGTAGCAGTAGCAAAATTATAAAAACGTGAAATTGGCAGTAGCAGTAGGACAGCAGTAGCAGTAGCAAAATTATAAAACGTGAAATTGGCAGTAGCAGTAGCTCAGCAGAAGCAGTAGCAAAATTATAAAACGTGAAGTTGGCAGTAGCAGTAGCTCAGCAGTAGCAGTAGCAAAATTATAAAACGTGAAGTTGGCAGTAGCAGTAGCTCAGCAGTAGCAGAAGCAAAATTATAAAACGTGAAGTTGGCAGTAGCAGTAGCTCAGCAGTAGCAGTTGCAAAATTATAAAACGTGAAAGTGGCAGTAGCAGTAGCTCAGCAGTAGCAGTAGCAAATTTAAAAACGTGAAGTTGGCAGTAGCAGTAGCTCAGCAGTAGCAGTACCAAATTTATAAAACGTGAAGTTGGCAGTAGCAGTAGCTCAGCAGTAGCAGTAGCAAATTTATAAAACGTGAAGTTGGCAGTAGCAGTAGGACAGCAGTAGCAGTAGCAAAATTATAAAACGTGAAATTGGCAGTAGCAGTAGCTCAGCAGTAGCAGTAGCAAAATTATAAAACGTGAAGTTGGCAGAAGCAGTAGCTCAGCAGTAGCAGTAGCAGTAGCAAATTTATAAAACGTGAAGTTGGCAGTAACAGTAGCTCAGCAGTAGCAGTAGCAAAATTATAAAACGAGCATTGAGCATTGACATGAATAATACATTTTCAACAACTCATGTATTACAACTTCCACAATATGACTATTTTCAGTGTTAATTTTTAGTTAATACAAATTTATTTTATTTTGTTATTCAACATCAATTGGTAAAAAATAACACTATTAACTGGGTTGAGTAAAGCAGTTAATCTAAATTATGGGGACATGTTACATAAAGAAGGAAGACAATGTTATATATATTGTTTCATCATATATGTAACTGTATTTTAGAGAAATTTTAAATTTACAACCGAAAATCGGTTGCCTTCGTAATGCCTGCCGAACACTTCTGAATACTCTAGGTAATCGATTTCATGACCGAACATAACATAATTTATCAATAAATGATTTATATATGATGTACGTCTTTTTTCAAATTTACAAACTGGACAAGTTTTTTTTTTTTTATTAAACGAGCAAACTTTAACTTTCAATCTGGACATAGGTGCGTAATTTTACATATAATTTTCGACATTTTCACTTTTCATAATATTTCTGTAGTTGGTAGTATTAATCGGGTTTCATTTTTTTCCAGCAAATCAGAAAATACTGACCTTTGGTTAATGCACATGCAAACGAAAACATGATGAAAATTAGTTTCTTCTAAAAAAAACAATTTTATGTTGATTTTTTTAACTGATTCGAAGACATGTGTCTATATATCAGATGTGGTGTATTTCCAAATAACTGGTTTCTTACATTAGAGTAGATTGAATAGGACGGAGCTATGAAAAATGATACTCTGATGTTAAGATATTAATTATATCACTTAGGAATCGGTGTTGATAAGCAAGACATACAAAATACAGCGTTTTGCTTACTGTCTATTGCTTGCTGTGCAAATTTTAAAGCAATAATATCAAACATCCGAATATTGTGATAACGTTACAACAAACAGTGTACTGTCTACTGCCTACTTCTAACTATTTTCTTCTTGTTTCACAATAAAAAATCTATTGCAATCACATTGGTCAAAGAACTATATATACAGTTGCCGAAATAGTTTGTGTTTTTTGTATTTACTCATAGATAGCAGTCACATATAAAGCACGCATCAAGGCTCCCTCAAAACTGTTTTAACTGCGACTATAGATATTAATAAAG